TGGAGTCTCAGTCTGTCACCCAGGTTGGAGTGCAATGGCACAGTCTTAGCTCACTGCAACCTGTCTCCCGGGTTCAAGCAATTCTCCTGCCTCACCCTCCCGAGACCTGGGACTACAGGTGCGTACCACCACACCTGGCTAATTTTTGTATTTTTAGTAGAAAAAGGGTTTCACTATGTTGGCCAGGCTGGTCTTGAACTCCTGACCTTGTGATCCACCCGCCTTGGCCTCTGAAAGTGCTGGGATTACAGGCGTGACTCATAGTACACAGCTAAGTTATTCTTAAACTGCTTATTCAGGCCAACATTCCTGAACCATTTCTCAACTCAATAATTGAGATTCATGTTTTTCCACATAATAGCCTTATCTGTGCCATTAAGAATATTGGTGAATGCAGCATTTCTTACAAGAATCTATAAAAATAAATAAAAATCACCAAAGGACATACCAATGGTTCCATTAAATCAGAAGTTGAGACTGTCTCCGGGTTATCTTGGGCTCCTCATTGCCAAGTGAACCTAAGGGCAAAAAAAGGGGTTAACTGTACTGGCCAGAGTGATTGACCTTGTCTATTAAGGAGAAATTGGGTTCTTATGGCCCAGTGGGGATAAGAAGGAGTATATGTGGAATGCATGAGATCTCTGGGGGTATCTCTTAGAAGTCTTGTGTTCTGTGATTTTATAATTGTTGATGTTTCACTTTTTGCTAATTTATAAAACATGCAGGAGTTTGCTGTACAGGAGAAACTCACTGAAAACATTTGACCGGAAGTCTGATAAGAAAAACAGGCCGGACGCGGTGGCTCACGTCTATAATCCCAGCACTTTGGGAGGCTGAGGTGGGTGGATCACAAGGTGAAGAGATCGAGACCATCCTGGTCAACATGGTGAAACCCCGTCTCTACTAAAAATTCAAAAATTAGCTAGGCATGGTGGCGTGCGCCTGTAGTCCCAGCTACTCAGGAGGCTGAGGCAGGAGAATTGCTTGAACCCAGGAGGTGGAGGTTGCGTGAGCCAAGATCGCACCATTGCACACCAGCCTGGGTAACAAGAGTGANAAAAAAAAAAAAAAAGAAAAAGAAAAAGAAAAACAGGGAGGGCCACATATTTAAGATTAGTGGTGTGTACATAAGTGTTTTGTTTTTTCTTTTTTTTAATTTTTGTTTGTTTTGAGATAGGGTCTTGCTCTGTGGCCCAGCTGGAGTGCAGTGATGCAATCATGGCTCATAGCAGCCTCTACCTCCCAGGCTCAAGTGATCCTCCTACCTAAGCCTCCTGAGTAGATAGGCCTACAGGCACATGCCACCATGATTGGCTAATTTTTGTTATTTTTTTTTGTAGAGACAGGTTTTTGCCATGTTGTACAGGGTGGTCTCGAACTCCTAGGCTCAAGAGGAGTTCAAAGTGCTGAAATTACAGATGTGAGCCACCATGCCTGGTCATGAGTGTTTATTTTTATTTATGCCTTATATTTTTTTTTTCCTAGGGATGGGGTCTTGCTCTATTGTCCAGGCTGGATTCAACCTCATGGGCTCAAGTGATCCTCCTGCCTCAGCCCCTGAAGTAGCTGGGAGTACAGATGCACACCGCCACATCCTGCTTATGCCCTATATATTCTTTTGTATGTATGGGTGTAAAAACAGAGATAAAAACAGAGATGTGGATGCTATCAGCTCACTGATGTTTGAAGTTCTGAGAAAGCATAAGTCAGTAAAGGAGTTAACTGAAATTTAAATCTCACAAATGAGCCAAAAATATAATTTCTGGTTATATTATATTATGGGGTTAATTCTTTGAATACTGTTGCTTAAGAATAAAATACTTTGTGATTTCAATAAGTTGAAAATTATGGTACAACGCAAGGAAGGAGAGCTACTAGCTATGAGACTTTTGTAAATTATGTAACATCTCTGAACCTCTGTTTCCTCATCTGTTAAAATATGGACAAAGTGCTACCCAGTTAAGCCACTTCAGAAATGGGACTCTGAGAAAAGTCACTTTTCTTCTCCTAGCAAAAGGTTTCTCAGCCTCAGCACTCCAGACATTTCAGGCCAAGTCTTTTTTTTTTTTTTTTTTGAGACAGTTTCGTTCTTGTTGCATAGGCTGGAGTGCAGTGGCACCATCTCGGCTCATTGCGACCTCTCCTGGGTTCAAGTAATTCTCCTGCCTCAGCCTCCTAAGTAGCTGGGACTATAGGTGCGTGCCACCACGCCCAGCTAATTTTTGTATTTTAGTAGAGACAGGATTTTGCCATGTTGACCAGGCTGGTCTGGAACTCCTGACCTCAGGTGATCCACCAGCCTCGGCCTCCCAGGCAAGTAATTCTTTGTTGTGAGGCGCTGTTCTGCGCATTGTAAGGCGCTTAGCAGTTTTGCCGGCCTCCACTCACCTGTGCCCTCCACCATCTGGAGATTCCAATGGCACCTCTCCCCCAGAAGAGAGGTTGAAAATGCTCCATACATTGCCAGCTGTCTCCTGGGAGGCAAAACTGCTGCAGTTGAGAACCACTGTCCTAACTCCATGCTCATCCACTAAGGGTTTGAGGGACTGAGAAATGAAACAGTCCCGAAGGAATAGAACCTCAACTCCTAGTTTCATGAAGGCAGGAACTGTAACTCAGAGGCCTGGGAACACGGAGCTCTGAGCTGCCGGCTGGTAGGAAAAGTCCTAATTAATTGATTGAATCATGAAGGAAGGGCAACAAGGGACAAATGGAGAGGGCCCGAGGCCCAGCCTTCGGTCTCAGAATCAAAGAGGCCCGCACTGGTCATCCCTCGCGCTGCTGTGCTAACTGCTAGGTATTCGTATCTGCAGATAAACCAAGACAATGATGCGGTGGGAAAGACCTTGGGGAACAAGGAGGAGGCGCTGGGCGAGCCCAGCTGTGGTTCGGCGGCCAAGGCCCGGGGCACTGACGTGAGCCTCAGGCCCTGCCCCTCGCCCTCCTGGTCCCGCCCCTGCGCCTCGGACCCCGCCCCTCGCCCTCCTGGTCCCGCCTCCGCTTCCCGGGCCCCTCCCCTCGCTCGCCCGGCCTGGGCGGGTGGCGCCTGCGTGAGGGGGCAGAGGCGGGGTGGAGGCGTTGGCGCTGCCACGTCTGGGCCGCGGTTCCCGACCGTGGAGCGGGCGGTGGAGAAGGAGGTGGGGCTGGCGCTGAAGCCGGATCCGGATCTGGTGCTGTGCACCCTGGTGGGGGAGAGTCCGACGCACCCGGTTAGGAGCGCCGACTGCGGGGCCTCTACGGGTGAGGAGGGACCTGGCCTGGTGGTGAGAGCTGGACCGTGTCACGAGGGCCGGGACGGGCCTGCCTTCAGGTTTATCTAACAGGTGTGTCTGGTGCCCCGGTGAGGCCCCTGGGGGTGCTGGGGGTGCTGGTGATCCTCGCCAGCTGGGCGCACATGGTGTGGCGCGCAGTTCCCAGGAAGTTGAACGCACGCGCACCTGGAGCAGAGGTTAAGGATGATGGCCAGCGGTCCGGCCATGCGCGGGTCTTGGCCTGGCAGGGCTGGAACAGGGATTGGGGTCGGAACTTCGCTCCCCAGGCTTTGGCGTGGGAAATGAGACAGTTGGTCGCCCTCTCTGCAGCCATTGGTTTTGAACGAGGACGAACACCCCAGGCCCCTTCTCCCCTTCCCCCTTTCCATTTCAGTGCGCATCCGACGGTTGTCGGGAGCCACTGAGATAGGCAGCTGCTCCGAAAACCACCTCCGCACCGTCTAGGTCAGCGCTTTCCCCAGGCTACTGAGAGAAATCCTTTGTCTCTTTTTTTTCCCCTAGGCTCCTACCCCTAGAAACACCGAGTACTGTACTGTGATTTCTGTTGTAGGAGCTGATGTTTATGTAAGCCAAACTCATTTAAAATTTTCATACAAAATTGAACGGGCGATTATAGGATTCGTTTTGTTAGGATAATCCCTCATGAGCGAATCCCAGAATGGATCTCAAGAAATTTATTTAGACAGGATTTGCCGAATAGGTGAGAAAGAGCTAGCTGTATGGTATGATGATGTAAAGATTGGGGTCTGTTGAGGATCGTAGTAGAGCTCAAGATGCGAAAACCAGAGGATTCTAGCCCCAAGTTACTTAATTGTTGTGTTACCTAGAAGGGCAAGTCTTGGGAGTTCCAGGTGTTCCAGCTTCCTTAGCGGTAGACTGGAAATAACGCCTAGATTGTAAAGGTCAAATAAACTATCAGAAAATACTTCTGAAAATTCATGCAGTTACAGAATTTAATACATATAGCCAGGTGTATTAAAAGTCATTAACAAAATAGATTAAGAATGGATTCTTGTTATCGAAATGATTATAAAATGTATGTAAAGGAATCCGAAGTCCACCCCTTCCCCATTCATCTGTACTTAGAGGATGCCCCAGAAATTCTTGAGAAATATACAGGTTTAGATTTGGTTTGTTTTATATACAGGTTTAGATTTGGCCTTAGATTATGTTTTTAAAATTTGTAGATCGACTTTTAAAATCTTCATCTCCGGTGTCTATTACTTGTTGCTCTCAGTTGCTTGCTTCTAGCAGCAGCCTCTCTCCCGGCTCATATTCCAGTCTGAGGCTCGGAAGCCAAATTGTTGAAATTTTGTTTAAAAAATATTTAACTTAGTGAAAAAATATTCAATTGATATGATGACTAGTAAAAATGAACTTGGTGTATGTTTTTTGTGATGTTACTTGTGGCAGTTTGGGAATTTTTTTTTTGTCCTGGATTTTTTGAAATGTGACCTACTGGTAAGTCTTATTCGTTATTCATTCATTAGGCATTATTGGGCTAGGGTTAGGCATAAGCGTGTCTTCTATATGTGTGCTAATTTAGCAGTTAATCAGAAAAGGATCTGAGGAATACTTAAGGAGGGTTAGTGTTTACTTTTTTTATTTTTAAAGTTAATCTAGAAACTTTGAAGACCCTATTGATATGATGAGATTTCAGCTTCAAGCAATTGTGCAATTTTATTTGCAGAAATTTCCTAGTTTTGCAGTATCTGGGGTACCTGAAGATGCTAAAAGTTTATTTATATAAAATTACCTATTTAATTATGTTCTAAAACCCTTTGTATCTGAGTATCAAGTCATATTTTGCTTTACCTTGCCCAGTATATTAGTTGGGTACCAGGAGAATTTTACCGTTTGAGGATAAAGTGGGCCTTCAGTATGGCTGTTTTGTAAAGTAGCTCATAAAAACAATTTTGATGTTTATTTCTGATTTTTTGGTTAACAGAATCTTATTTCAATCTGGAATGCTTTGTTTAATGTGTCTAAGTGCTGCTTATGACTTAATTTATAACTCTTGTACAACAATAAGGTAGAGAATTTATCTACTATAGTACCTCTTCGGTGTAATAATGGTTAAAAGCAGAGTCTGAAGTCATACTACCTAGCAGGACTGGCTACGTAATTTGTGATAATCCAAATTAAAATGTAGGTTCTTTGTCAAAAAATTAAGAACATCAAAACAGTGGCAGCAGGGTATTAAACTAAGTGCAGTGCCCTGTGTAATGGCACAGGTCAGGGGCTTCTGAAGCCGGCCCTATTGCCTCATTTTGAATCCTCACTCTGTCCCTTGTTGGCACTATAACCTTGAGCAAGTTACTGTTCTTTCTTCCTTATCTGTAAAGTTGGGATAATAACGATACATTGTTCATTGTATTTTTAAGAGTTAATATATAGAAAGTTTTCAATAAGTGTTAGCGAATGTTACGTATTTTTATGATCAGGCATGTAATAGGACCATCTCATTAAAGTACAGGAAAATATTAGTACTTCCTGGTTAAAATTCATTAGTTAAGGGTTCCATAATCCTGGTTGTTTTCCTGTATACTTCTATCCTCATGAAAATTATTAACCCTATTTTTCATGTTTTCTAGACTATATTTTTATTGTAAACGCAGACAACTTTATAGGAAAAATGAATCTAGTTAAATGTTAATGTTGACTTAAATTCTCTTTGAGTTTTCTTTAAACTTTGTACTTTCAACTATATGTTTAATAGCATGACCAAAATGTTTCAATAGTGTGCTGCCTCAAGGAATTTACATTTTTAATACTGTACACATACATTTCACTTTATTAATAAATACTTAGCCTGTTTATCTACATACGTGAAAAACAATGTTGCTACCTACCTTTCAGATGAGATTACACACAAAAACCTCAAGAGTCCAATTACCAGGGACAGACAGTAAAACATGTCGACTCAAATTCATCTATTAAAAACATGTTTTGGCTGGGCGTGCTGGCTCACGCTTGTAATTCCAGAACTTTGGGAGGCTGAAGAGGGAGGATCACTTGAGGTCAGGAGTTCAAGTGCAACACTGCAAAAACCCCATCTCCACTATAAATGCAAAAATTAGCCAGGTGTGGTGGAATGAACCTGTAGTCCCAGCTACTTGGGAAGCTGAGGTGGGAGAATCACTTGAGCCCAGGAGTTCAAGGCTGCAGTGAGCTATGAATTGCACCACTACATTCCAGCGTAGGCAACAGAGTGAGACCCTGTCTCAAAACAGAAGAAAACAAAAATCTTAATTTGAATGGATATTAAACTTGTTAAATTTGAAGCTTTTGTTTGATCATGACAATTTCTACATTTTCCTTAATATTGTTAGAACTAGGTAGAGTGTGTGCAGCATAATTTGATCTGAATCCTTTTCTGTGTGTTGGGGGGACCTCTTAGCAGTCTACATTATAAATTACATTATTTTTTTCTGTCCAAGAATGCTAACTTTTGGTTTAACATAAACATAAGTGCCTGTCATTTTTTTTTTAGTCCCTGTACCCAGAACAGTGCCTGATTCATGAATTAAAGGTGAAAAAAATGAACAAGAATTTATAAACTTGAATTTTAAATTCATTGCTAACTAGCATGTATCTTATTGCGTATTTAACAGTATGCCACGCACTGCTAAGTGCTTGCTTGCATACAGTAATGCATTTCATCTTCCAGTAATTCATCTCCACTTTACAAATAAGGAAACTAGAACTTAAGAACTTAATTACCTTAGTAATTATACAGTTGACATTTGAACACCAAGTTTGATTCCAAAGCTCATGCTCCTTTTATGCCTAGGTTTAAATCCTGACTCTCGGAATTTTGTGACCTTAGGCAAGTTACTTAACATTTTCTCACCTATTGAAATGCAGGTAATAACCATGCCTACCTGTAGGATGGTTGAAATAAACGAACTATTAAAGTTCTTTGAACAGTCTGGCACATAAGAAGTGGTGAGCAAGTATTAACTTCTATTGTTATATCACATCACATTATCTTCCCATAACTAACTACATTGCAGCATTATTTATATAGTTACATAGGATTACACAAGCAGAAACTTAGTATCCATGTTTAAGGAAAAGTTAAGAATATATGCCCTGAAGCATATTGTGACTTATGAAATAAGGAACAATTGGGAGTTCCGTTATTGGGCAAATTGTTCTCTCATTAAAATTTAGTTTCTTGGCCAGGGGCGGCAGAGGGAGTTGGTGGCTCATGCCTGTAATCCCAGCACTTTAGGAGGCCAAAGAGGGCAGATCACCTGAGGTCAGGAGTTCAAGACCAGCCTGACCAACAGCCTGACCAGTCTGTACTAAAAATACAAAACTAGCCATCGTGGTGGCACATGCCTGTAATCCCAGCTACTCAGAAGCCTGAGGCAGGAGAATCACTTGAACCTGGGAAGAAGAGGTTTCGATGAGCTGAGATAGTGCCATTGCACTCCAGCCTGGTCAACAAGAGCAAAACTCCATCTCAAAAAAATAAATAAAATGTTAAAAAAA